CATTCCTTACAGGGTTTGGGGTTTGCCACCCATCGTCTCCTCTGAAAGAGGCTTACGAGTCAATAATTTTCTTGGTTTCGGGGATGGTATGGGCATCATGCAACCCTATCAAAGCTATCTGGCAGACGCTTGTTGGAGCACTTTGTCAACAAGATCCTGGTTGTGACTGCTGCATTTAGTCAAGGTTGAATGGGTTTTCTCTAACAATAAATAACTCAAACATGCAAAAAAACACTGTAAATATGGGGGCCCGAGGGCGTCCCACCCTCCTGAATTATGACTCCTTGACCTACCGAACCGAAAAGTCACGAGATCGTAATCTGACTCTGAATCCGAATGATTGGCTTAAAGTCTGATGCCGAGCAACTTAGATTCCAGGTGGTCCAGCTGCTGATGCAGAAGCCTTCCGCAGGTCGCCCAGAAAGGCAGACACAAAGTACACCGCAACGCACATCCAAAACAACATACACTTTAGTAGAGGAAAAGCAAAAAAATGGCGACCTGGTCCTGGCCATGACCTGGGACTGAGAGGTGGAGCCCGCAGCCTGGCCAGGGAAGATGCAGATACACTCAGCGTATCTGCAGTGTGCGTAGCGCAGCTTCGTTCAGTCATCTCATGTTCCTCTGGACATTGTGTCTCGTTTTTTTTTTTTGTGTGTGTTTCTGGCGCCTCGCACGCGCAGGTTGCAGGGGCTTGCCGTCGTGTGCTTCCTACGTCGTGTCGCAACAGGAACCCAAACTTGATGATCCGCCATCATCCTAAATCCAGCTCGCATGGGTGGTTTCGTCACAGCCCACCTCTGTTCCGATGGCCTTTCGACCCAAACACAAGACGTCTTGTGCTGTGGCGCTCTGGAACCCTCTGGAACCCTTCAACCTGCCAGGGCGGCCTCGAGAGCTGACTGGGCCTCGCGAAGGAGTCGCCCGAAGGAGGTGGACTCCTCTGCTGGGACGTGTGGGGGAGCTGCTTCCTTCGTTCATGCTCCAGGTCCAAGAACAGTGTTGTGAGCCCTGAGCACCTCAATGTTACTGGCCTGTGTCCATAATTCAGTGACGCCTCCCAGCTGCGGACCCTTCCCGGCCCCTCCTGTGCAATGTGCGAGATGGATGCCTCCAGCAGCTGGACTTTGCGAAACCATCGAACTCGCACCATGCAAAGGCATTGACCGATGCTACTTTAAATTCCAAGGATAGTATAGCCTGAAACTTCAATATCGTTACTACTATTATTATTATTGTTGTACGAGACGGTTCATCATCCGAATTCTGCCGCCTTCAGCGATCTGCACTTTCCCGCCAGCGATCTGGAAGAGGAGTAGCGTGGGTCGAACGACGGCTGCGCACTCCCCTTCAGGGCACAAGGCTCTCTACTTCACAATCTGCAAGGTTGTAGAGTTCAGGCAAAACATACCCAAAAATCCGCAGAATGTGGTCCTTGTCTTCTTCTTGCTGCGGTCCACGTGGAGAGCCGAGCAACGTGGGCAGCGGTGCCTGTCAGTGGCTACAGGCACTGCATAAACATTTACACAGCTTTGCACTGATGCAGTGGCCGTGTAGCTTTAACTCTGATTGCCTGGTCCCTTGCTTCGACAGTGAGATGCTCCGGCTCGCTTCTTGGAATCCTTAGATACATAACTCATGATTCAACATCTTCATGCGCCCGGGGTTCTAGCTCCGAAGATAGCGTTTGGACTTTACAATCAACTAAAACACTTTCATCCCAAGTAGTCCCAGCATCTCGTCAGGGAAGTCATCCTCTGGCACCGACCTAAGAATGCAAGATGCTACTAGTAGTGAGGGGCGCGGGCTCTTCCAATGCAAGTAAATGATGCGCGAAATACACCGCACTGAATCGCGAGAGCAGATCGCGGCCAGGCAACATCAGCACATCGGAGAGGCTCGCCATTTTTTCTGATCCTGGAAGGGCACATGGCACATGAGGATCGGCAACTCATCGACCTTGAGTTCTGCCAGCCAAGGTTCTGCCAATCAGATTGGCGTAGTGCTCCGCTTGCACGATTTGGTCAAAGAAGGCCCTGCCTCCCGAAGTCGATGTGCTGAGAACCCTTACTAAGCTCTCTCCTCCCACAAGCCGACCTTGAAAGTCGCCTTGCGCCTGTTCACGGCTAATTTTCACCTGCAAAGACTGACGAGTGTCGCGACTGAACAAGGTGTCCGCGCGTTACAAGGAGTCTCCAGCTGAGTTGCATCATTGTGACGATCGTGACGTTTGAGCGTCTTCTCTGGCTTGCCTTGGCTTCATGTAGTGTTACATAGCTTGTGAAAGAACCTTGTAGCGACGAGTGAAGAGAGTGAGGATAGCGAGGACCGTGGCCGAGCGTCTCTTGGCCTTCGCCAGCGTGCGGCGGTGACCGCGACCCTGATGAGCGGAAACTGAATTGACAAAGGCTTCAATGACATTTTGTACATTGCGCAGCAGCCGAGTGAGACACTCTGAGACACGAAACGGGCTTGTCATGACTCACCAGTCTTGCAAGAACGAAAGAACGAATGGTCCAAGCGAGGCCATCTCAGCCAAAGCGCATCGATGTCCGATACTTGTCCTGCGCCGTGGTGAGGGATGCGGGATGAGCAGAGAGCTGATTTTGATTTGGCAGGCCGAGATATCAAGACACACGTACTATCCATGCCATCAAACAGGCTATATCGCTATGGCAGAATATGGCACCGGGCGGTAAGCGCTGGTGGCAGCCGACACCATGTGTGAATCCATCAGTCTGGGGGCTTTTAAAAAATCAGGCCAGACGAATCATGTAAAATGCCACCGTGTGAAAGCATCGTGTTGGTCAGCTCTAGCGAGCCATGGCCTCCCGGCAGGGGATGTGCTGATGGCCGACAGAAGCCGGCAGCAGACTCGTCTTTAGGTCGAGGAGAGCGCCGGAGCCGCCTAAAATCCCAAGCTTCAAAGATCTTTCAGCAGCAAAAATGGACAAAACATGGACGCTTGCCCGCTTCTTTCGTCCGAGCGTCCTGTCAGGCAAGCCGGGAGCCTCACTTTGGGGCCCGACCTGACTGTGGCTCCAAGCCTTTCCTTTTCAACTCTCTTCAATTCTAACAAAATATGGGAGTGATATATCATATAGAGTTTATGCATGATTCATATTACTCCCACGGCTCGTTCTGAGCCAAGCGGCTGAACCGGAAGTGGCGCCGAAGGCTCCTTGGAAGGCCTCCGCTGCCTTCTTCGGTGCGGCTGCACGCCTGGCCAGAGGCATCCGGAGCAGGGATTGGCAGTTTTTCGCCGAGACCTCTTCTGGGCATCAGCTGCTGCACGCGCATCGGCACAGTCTTCTGGCTGCAGTGAGGTCGTCCTTCGGAGAGTGGACAGGCCACATAGGTCACAGAAAGGGACGGTGGGTGGGGTGCAGATAATCCAAACGCTGAGGCTGCAACTCGACCGGACGAGCCCGTTGGCCTGCAAGGTCAAGGCTAGAATTGCGCTTGACCGACACGCTCTGCAACATCCGAAGTCTTAAGAGCCGGCCAAGCGACCAAGGTCAGAGCCGTCAAGGTATGCACTGCGCTCCAAGGTCATGTAGCGCCGGGCATTGCCGAAGCTCCTTGGTGGAGAGAGCTGCCTGCTTCAATTGAAGCGGCGATCCAGCCTAGGCCTAAGCCTCCACTGCCGATCTGCAAAACTATCAAATTATCCGAGGTGCATGTTGCTTGGCCAGCTGCATCCGGATGCACAACGAGACCCTTTCGACTGCGGCAAATGCACGGCACTGCATCTGCGGACTGAAGCCTTGCGATCGAACCATCTTTCTGGCGAAGCCTTGCTCCTTGGACCTGCACATATCCCTGCATCCCGCCCGAAAAGGCCCACGTTGTCTCAACAGAAACATCAGGCTGGAGAGCGTGCGCAAGCGAAGCATCGAAAGGCCGAAACAGCCTATGACATATTGCCACGAGAGACAAAGCCATGTGCAGGTTCTGCGAAGCTCGTCGTGTCTCCTACGAAAATTTACGAGGGCCGCTTAGGGCTGCCGATCTTGCAGTTCCATCCTACTGCTCCTTAACATACTAAATTCTGCCTGCAAATTTGAGCTTTTCAGCTGTTCTTATGCTGCTGATCTGATGTTACTGTTCTTGTTCGTATTCGTGTCAAACTCGGTTGCGTAATCATTGGTATTGTAGCTATATGTGTATTCTGTAGCCATCCAGTTGAGCAGAAGCACTAAGGAAAAGCCTCTGCACAAGTGGCAGACGTTTGTAGTCTGCCCTATGCAAATCCAGGAGTAAAAACACCTGGAGTTGACATGCACATTCGAAGCAGGCTGCAGAGCAAGCCAGCATAGATCAAGCATTGCCGTGCTTTGCTTGATCTGGCACCTCGGTTCCCGTCTCTGCCTTGCTCAACACCGGAAGCTCAGCAGTGGGACTTTGCTGGAGCCATTCACAGAAACGCTGTCAGGAGCTAGGGCCAGCATGCATTTGCGCTCTTGGCAAGATTCCTTTCAAAATAACGTCAAGCTTGCGAGACGTGAACTGAAAGAACTATATAATGTAGCCCATTGCTAATTGCAGATCCGGCACCTGGGGCGTTGCTGGTGGTCTTGCTTTGCACAGTATGGCAACCTTGCGGAATAGCCCACGACCAAGATGATCGTGATGTGCCTGCTCGTCCAGTGGACGCTGCAACACTAGGGGAACGGACAGTTTTCAGTACCTTTGACAAGCTCACAAGTCCTCTTGCCTCCTGCATCTGGTTGACCTGGGCAACAGGCACAAAAGATTACAAAGCCAAAGTTCCCTGTCAAAGCAGGCTGCTTGCATCCAAGCTGCGATCTTGTAGGGGTCGTGTGTCTTCCTAATTGCACGTCAACAAAACTCAGCATCCACGGAATGCAGCCCGGGACTTCCTGACTCGATGCTGCTGGGATGCATTTCATGTAGCTGCAATTCCAACTTGTCCAAGGAGGCTTGCCTCAATCCGCACCCAGGCAGGAACTCTGCAATGCTCCGAAGTTTGCTACCAAGGGTCGCGTCGTGCTCTTCGGAAGACCAGCCCTGGCCTTACTCGCGAATCTCCACTGCTGTTCGTCAGTTTCACCCCCCAGCGGCAGCCAAAACGCGGAGCTTTTCGGCTTCGGCAGACTTCTTGGCTGCCGTGTGGTGGCGCATCAGCTGGCCTTAGTGATTTGCATGGGAACTGAACCGGACCGGCCCCTTTGTGGTTGCCAAGCAATGCCAGGCAAATGCAAATTCCGACTTCCGGTTGTACTAGTACTAGTGGTGGCCGGACCGCGAGGTCTACCCTCAGCAGTGCAAGCGGCTGAACTCCTCGAAATCGATGGCGCCTGGGCAGCACAGCTATGAGAAGCTTCCAGCGAGATTCTCTGATTCTACGCCGTCTTGAGGCAAAGGGGCCGTCACCGGTGACATCGAAGCGCTTCAGCGCCTGCGTTACACAGAACTGTTCCACAGCAGCAACCTTCGTCAATCCGTGCCCTACTGCTCCACGCATGCCTCCCTGGCAGCTGCATCTAAGACGTCTTCATGCCATACGCGGCTCACGTCGCTACCCCGAAAGATGGCTTTAATCTCCTCGGGGTCATACACATCCCGTGACTGCAAGCCAAGACTGACTGTGGAGCAAGAGCCGCGTCTTGTGTTTCTCTCGATCTTTATAAGAGCGTGATGCAGGCGACGGCACCGAAAACTTTGCAGGCGAGAAGCCTCAAACGATAGCTGGCCATCCTTCAGTGTGTCGAAGGAACGGAAAGCAGCCCACAGCCACGACTCCTCCGAATCAATTCACGTGTATGAACAGAACAGGAAGCTCTGGTCGGGAGCAGCCGGCGGTTGCGGCAACATCGGTTGGTTCGGAGCTTGCTTGCATATCCTCCTGGAAGATTCGCTCGCCAACCGCAGCCGCGCAAAACTCGTTATAGTCAATGCTGCCTTGCGACACAAGACAGGAGTGAAGCACGACGAGCATCGCCTCTTTGGCTCGCTGAGCGACTGCAGGATCCCGGCGTGAAGCATGGCAGCGCATATGGTCGAGAGCATGAGCCAACCGATTGGACTTTTGGAGGACCCTCTCCATCAAAATTGTCATGTGCCCCTGTGCGCCCTACAAGAGACGGGATGGGACGAACGTGCCTGAACCATCCTTGTCAAGCATCTGCACGGTCTTCAGCAAATCTTGCCTTGCAGCTGCGAGTTTCCATGGGGACGCGGGAAGGTGCATGTGCATGTGAGCCAACCACACGTGGCCCGGGTGCATCTCAGGAGAGTCTGCGTGGCAAAGGTTGCAGAAGCCCTGCTGGACCTGTGGAGGGTCGAAGCAAAAGTAGCAAAAGCCTAGTGGCCTAGTGCGGACCTCAAGTGTCGCTGATGCCGATGCTGCCATGTGCATGCAGAACGTCACCCCTGCCTCTTCCACAGACAGCACACCATTCCCATCCCGGTCCAAGCTGCAGAACATGCGGTGCACCTGTCTCACACATGGCGATGCGCTTCAGCCGACAGAGTCTGCGCCCCGACCCTCAGCTCGGCACCTCATTCAAGTGCTTGGAGCCAAGCTGACGAACCACCGCAGCCACACAAATGGAGTAGAAATGGCCAAGATGGCTGAAGTTCTTCATGTTGTCAAGAACTTGCTGCGCCACGGCTGCAGGCATCTCGGAATGCCTGGCGGGGCTCTGGAGTTCTCCAGTCAGAACCCATCCGTGGCCTCGCCTCTCAGTGTTCGTAATCCAGGGGTGCTGGAGGATGTCCTGCGAGTCGCTTCTGAGCCCAGAGGCCAAAGCTGCGAAGAACATGAAAAAAGATCCGCGTCTCTTCTGCGGCTTGGGGGACTTCGGGACACGTCTTGACGGTACAGTAGGGCAACTAGCCAGCTAGTTCGCAGCTCACTTGTGCCCACCAGCTGTCCACAAAATATCAACAGGCAGCTCACAAGCAGCCTAAGCTATCCCCACGGGGGATGTGCTTGAAGGCAGGGTTGTGTTGTTGTGTTTTCCATGTGCTCCTGGCTGTGATGCTAAGAGCTATGGCTTTGCCGCCCAACTCTTCGGACATGTGAAGAAGCAGCATGTCAAAGCCGGAGCCCCTAAGCGTCCTTGGGGGAGAATCGCATGTTGGGGTCGGCCTTCAACAGGCCCTGAAGCAAATCCTTGACGTCTTGCGATCTCGACTGCCAGACTTTTCCTGCCAACGAATATTGCTCCTCAGATTCAGAACATTAAAGGCAAGAAATCCAGTGAGGGTGTGCGGCTGCCGGAGGGGCTCCTTCTTCATCTTCTTGAGCAGCTCTTTTTGCTTTCCGCTGAATGGCAAGCGCCCAGAAAGCATGGCGTAAAGGACAACACCAACGCTCCACCTGCGTCGGAAACGCGAAGCACAAGCTCCAGAGCTCATAGTCTATCCTGTAATCAAAATTCTGGACTGAAGCAGGGTGCCAAGGCTGTTGCCAAACATCGTGATGCAGCAGAGGTGCATGTCACAGGCAGCCGTGTAGGATGAAAGCCGTCTCAAGAAGCTTTCGGATTGCATCACCTGCAAGGCAGGGCAGGTTGCTAAGGACCTGAGAACGAGCCAGGACATCCTATCTTGCAGCGGGTGGCTAGAGTTCGTAAACAGCATTACACGCACGAGCCTCCGGTGCACAGTACCTGAGCGTTCCAGCAAAGTGCCGCATGCGCCGCTCACCGAAGTCGTGGCCGACACCCCAATCAATGACCTGCAGGTGCTGATTCGATACTCCGTTCCTTCCTGCTCTGGAGTCTTGGTGTGTCACCATAGGGCTTCGGGCGCAATCGAAGCTTCGGGCTGGTTGCTGGATGGCAAGAGTTCTGCCAAGTCTGCTGGAAAAGACAGCCTATGCCGCAATACCATGCTTGCCACAGTACATGCGCCGGCGCCTTGATGTCAGTGCAATTGGGATCCTGAACAGCGCAGGCTGAAATCAAACAATGGGTCCCTGCAGTGCTTGCCGCCGCCAAGTCATAAACACGATTTTTTGAGGAGGGGCTACTGAGCACATGCCCTTGTCCTACGCAACTTCTGCTGAATAGCTGACCGGTCCGTCTTATCAACAGCGGAGCCTGGGATGTGAACATGATGTTCTCAGGCTTGATGTCCTGGGCTCTCTCTTTCTTTTGACTATGCCTTTTTCGTGAACAGGCGCGACGCGAACTGCCAAGACGTGCTCGCTCGTGGCATGCTAAAGCTCTAAGCCCGAAATTCAATGCGACTATGTGTCACGGTGGGCAATGCCCTTGTCGTGCGCATAATGCAACGCACTGGCCAGCTGTCGGATGACCGCTGCGGCCGTCGGCTCGTCCAGCCGCGGTGAGTCGACATCGAAGCGGTGATCAAACAGATCCTTTGGATACGTTTTTTTTGGCGTCTTCCGGTGCATGGGATTCTTAATTACCCTATCTGCGACCATTAAATTTCAATCATTCTGTCAGTCTTTTCCAGTGTCCAGGCCTTGCCCTCGCAAAGCTCCATGACATAGTACGCAAGCCCAGCCCTCTCGTACGTCTCGAAAAGTTTGCAGATATTCGGATGGTCCAAGCTCTTCCTGAGCTGTTCGTGTGTCTGTCTCACTCACTCCTTGAGCACAGTGAAGGGGAAGCTCGTCTGCCTCTCTCCACTTCGTCTCATGCAATTTCTTCTTCCCCATGGTCCAAGCAGGGGTGCAGCACACTCTTGTCACTTGTCTTTGCGCGTGGTCGCTTGCTTCCTTCAAGCACTTTCCGTTTCATGGCGTTTTTTTGATGCGAGGGTTCCGCGCTCTTTCGCGAGCGAGCCTCTCAACTTAAGTCAGCATGCGAAATGCCTGCGTGCTTTCCAGTTTTTGCTTGTTGGGCTCCAAGCATTCATGTTCTGCTGAACGTTAGGTTCCGGTGTCTACATGCCAGGTGTGGGGCTTTCTTCGGTGAGTTTAGCACCAGAGTAATCGTTGCTTGCAAAACGGTCCTAACAAGGGAGACCTGTGTAGTGCGGGCACGGGTGTGCTATAAATGTACTGGCCAGATTGCTGGCTGGCACATGGCTGTGCGATACTGTTTGGCAAAGCATGGTAAACAGCTCGGCTTTTCGGTTTTACCGGCACTGCTCTGTGATCTCACAGCTTCTTGTTGTCATGCAGCGGCACAGACAAAGGCACGCAAACATGCATTCTAATCTTTTCATGTCGACATGCAACCAAGACAAGTCTGAAGAGAATGAGGTAGACAAAGCGATATAGATAGATTGACGAAGCCAATGGCGATGTGTGTGTGTGTGTGTGTGCGCGCTTGCGTGAAGCGTGCAAATGCTTCCCCACTCCATGTCAAAGATCAACTGCGGCATCGTTAGAGCAAGCGGCATGATCTTGACCTCGTTCTCAGACATCTCTCGACGGCGTGCGCTGGAAAGTAGCATTGACTTGATGGCCACCCGCCGCTCCGGATGCTTCCGGTCAGTGGCTCGGAATACTTTGCCGAACCCTCCGGATGCAAGTTCCAAGTTCTCCATCTCGTAATTCGCAGTAATGTCTTTGTCAATGTGGCTCGGTGCCATGCCCTGCACACTGTACCTGAGCCGATGTGGCTGGATGCTAGTTAAGTAAGCCGAATGCTTTCCAAGGGCGAAGCTCAGTGAGTGCCCTTTCCACAACCCTGCCTCACGAAAACCCACGAACCCTCAGTCAGCAGATGCTTTTCGTCCAGACGAGGTTGCAAGATATCCAAAGGTTCCTCCACGAAGCTCGTCGCCTGAAGACAAACCCCCGAAGGCTCTAGTGGACTCAAATCTCTGGAAGGCACGAAAGAGGCCGACGGCGCAGTCGTAACTTCACCGCACTCGTCATCCCACCAGGGGGGTTCCCGCTGAATGTCAGTCACCTCTTCCTCGGTCCTGTTCACTCCTGCCCGGTCCTTCTGGACGACGCGCCCGGCATCAGTCGAGCCTTTGGTCAGCATCAGAGGCCTTCAGGTTCCGCCTACTGTGGGGTGCAACTGCTTCCGCAATTCTGCCGTGGCTCTCTTCTCCACAGCCGCCGTCATGCTCAGGAAAGCCTGGTGGGAGATGACCCCACACTGCTTTCCTTTGCAGGGCGAGCCAAGACGGCTTCAGAAGCATAGCGAGTTCAACACAGCGGAGATGTGGAGCACTTCCGAGATGCTTTCCATGCCTGAAGTGGGCCACATTCAGTCCAAATCAAGGAACGCTTAGAGTCGAGGATGGATTCTTGGGCCGCCCTTTCCGGGAATCCCTCGAACTCCCGGTAGCAAAGGCTGGGAGGATCGCCTCGAAGATCAGAAGGGCTGCAGGCTGCAAAAGGCGTCCTCTGCCAGAAGGTCAACCCACTGAGAAAACGACATGTTCCAACTGCGGTGCTCGTCTGCTGACTTTTTCTTTCGACTCAGTTGGGAACCATCCAGAATCCAGATTTGCAGCTAATTCAGTGCAAGCGCGGCTTTGCCGAGTGCACATCCTACGCCTAACTGGTGACACAGCCACTCTGGAAGATGGCTCGAAGTTGCGTGGCAAACTCGCGAGTCGAGGGAACTAATGGTAGTGCTGTCGGAAACACTTGGACTCGCAACTTTCCCGTCGCTCAAGTCACAGCGAAGTTGCCTTTGAAGTGAAGGGTATACAACTGCGACGCCTGGGCTCAAGTTCACAATCATGAGGACACAGGCACAAGCGATCACCCTCCATGCTTGTCGCACGAGCCGTGTGACTCTGATTCGGCACGAAAGCTGAGTTCCCTTGCATCCTCCGTCGTGTCCTGCCGGGTCGTCGGTGTTGGGCATCCCTCCTCCAGGCAGCTGCACGAAGATGCGTCCCTGTCCGCGCGTGTGTGTGTGTGTGTGTGTGTGTGTGTGCGTGCGAGTGTGTGTATGCGTATGCGTATCCAAAGCCGGGCAACCACCTTTTCGTGAGTTTTGAAGAATGCACAGGTATCGCAAAACATTTTTATCTCAGTGATCGGATTCGGCCACTTGGCAATCCTCAAAGTTCTCGTTGGAGACTGCCTTAAGGATCCAAGGCCATGCCCTCTCATGCCGATGAAGTGAACCCTTTGCTCAATATAGAGGTTCAATTTAATTGCATCGGTGCTTCCAGCGAGACGACTGGTACTTGTAGCTTGCGTATTGAGTGTCGATGTCCACAAGGCAGATGGCAGCACTCTCGTGCAAAAGCTTACAACGCCAGAAATTTCGTCTGCTGAATCATTCAACTTACGGGGTTGCATAGACATTTCGGAGCGCAGCATCCGGACCCAAGCAGTTCCGTGCCCTGCTGCAAGCTTGTATGTCCCTGCTTGATGGCCCAGCTCAGAAAGAGTCCTCTGGCGAGGCCGCGATGGTCTCAGTTGGAGGAGGTTTCTCCTGGCCAGATCAATGCGTCGGTGTCTTTGCTGTTGCTTTGAGGAATCTCCGGGCGGTGAGCTCGTGTAAACAGACTTGCCGTATCCCGCTGCCCTAATGAGCCCAGCCCGAAATCGTGAACCCTACCCAATTCCTATTCCTTGCACAAGTATGTTGCGAGCACCCCGAATGAGAACCAGACCAAGCTGACACACTTTGCACCTTGGGGCTTGGCTGAGGCTGAGGTGGAGCAGGCGCGATCTTGCCCTTGCCGTGGCCATCACTACGGAAGTGACGAAGTTCAAGGGGTCCCGAGTTGAACGGTAGCGCTTCCCCTTTGCTTGGCTGTGCTTGGTTGCCGCAGAGGCACTGGACGACGTGCTGGATTGACCTTGCAAGTCCCGAGCGCATCGCGCATGGCACTTGGAGTCTGAGATCAGAAAGGAGAAGCGGATTCTAACCTGGAACCTCCACTTTCTCTGCATAGGCTAACAAGGGTTTTGTTCCCATCGTGCCTTGCGCCGGCGTCGCGGCCTGAACACGACCCAGTCAACACCTCAAGAGCTGGAGAAAATCATGCAAGCTTCGTCCGATATCCCTGAGCGCTTGCGAAGCCCGGCGAACTACTCAGCAGCTGACATCTGGGGAATGGTCGAAAATGAGTGCCATCCTCGGCTTTTCGACTCAGGCAAGCGCAAGTATCATGCAGTTGCTCCAAGCAAGTCCTAGATTTTAATGGTGTTGTTGTTGCTGTTGTTGCTGCTGCTGCAGTTGTTGCTTGCGACACCATTCCTTGGACTCTGCTTATGTTCGGAGTGAGAATTGCAGATGATGGTGGTGCATGGTGGCCCGCTTTTGGCTCCGGTAGGGTTTGACCCACTATTTCACTACATGCCACATGCGAGGGCTTGGCAACTTATACCTTCGTCGAATCAGACCTCACTGTGCTTTTCGTGTCGGGTCCATGAAATGTTGGGCTGTGATTTTTTGCCTGGGTGGAAACAGTGTAGATAGGGTCGGGAATGTAACACACACAAGGGGCAATTCCTCATCTAAGTAAACACTCCGATCACTCCGGACAGTTTCGACCTGTTTCGACTGCACATGTTCTAAAATGCCATGCGTCACGCGACCACCACCACCACCACGACGACGACGACGACGACGACGATGAAGACACTTCTACTTGTACGTACGACGACGACGACTACTACTACTACTCCTACTGCTACTACTACTGCTACTGCTACTGCTACTGCTGCTGCTGCTGCTGCTGCTACTGCAGCTTCTACTGCAACTACTACTTCTACTACCACTACCATTACCACTACCACTACCACCACCACCACCACTAC